TGCACGCGGGGCCGCCCACGGCCCGCAGAGGCCTCGCGCCGCCCGCATCTCGCAGCAGGGAAAGCGCTCAGGGCTGCTCCATCCACAGGCGGTAGCTCTGGACGTGCCCAAGGACAGTGTCACGATGTTCTGCGCTGTCTCGGGGCCTCCCAGGCATCCACCGAACCGGTGCTGTTCCTGAAGTACTTTACGTGTCCCACCTGCTGCCTTTCATAGAATCATGGAACTGTTCAGCTGGGAAAACAGCCTTGGGATCACCGAGTCCAACCATCATCCCTACTCTACAAAATTCTGCCCCAACCTGTCTCCACCAACACCACATCCAAATGAGCCTTAAACACATCCAGGAATGGTGACTCCACCACCTCCCTGGGCAGCCTGTTCCAGGGTCTGACCACTCTTGCTGTGAAAAAAAATGTTTCTAATGTCCAGTCAAAACCTACCCTGCTGCAGCTTGAAGCCATTTCTTTGTAATCTCGAGAGAGCAGCCAGCCTGTGTCTCACCTGCCAAGGGCAGGATGTGCTGTCCTTCCCATGTCTTCCCAGCCAGGAGTCCCAGTGGGCAGGGAGAGCACGTGGACCCCTAGACCTGTTGTGGAAGAAACTACGGATGCTAACAAAAGGATAAGATGCTGCAGGAGCCAGACAACAAACCAGAATGGTATGGGCCATAAAAACCTACTGCTTGCAGTTAATTTTCCTTGGTTCCAAACCCTGTTGCAAATAGCAAGTGTGTTTTCCTAAATGACCCAGGGTGTATTTGAGAGAAAAAATCACCTCTTATAATCTGCAGAGCTAAGAGGTATCAATGGAGTTCCCAAAGCAAGAGTAGCTCATAGGGAAAATTAACTTTTTTCTTAAGCCGTGTCAAATCCAGCAATGCTGTATTGCATATTGATATTGCACCAAGCAAGCAATTCAATTTAGTTAACTGTCAGTACACACATTTCTGCCTGTCCATGCAAGACATTTGAATTATCAGCTGCTGTGACTTTCCTCATGCCACTACATGATTCTAAACCAATCCTTGAGAAGGCAGACAAAAAATTCATAGCTCTGAATCAGCCATTTTACTTGGTGTTTATTTACAAAGGCAATTGTGAGCATTTTGTCCAGAGAAACAAATGAAACCCTAGCCTTGCAGGTAGAATGAGCAATAAAAGCTTTTTCATTCCAGTAAAAAGCTCAGTAGCTGTTACAAGATCTTTTTGCATAACTCAACAACTAAGCTTAGCAAATGGGTTATTGCAGCTCACATACACTGCATTTAGACAGACCTCTGAGACCTCCTTTCCATCCATCAACTCCAATAAGGTGCCATTTTGTGAGGACTAACTGTATGTCTGAACTGTTTCCAAGACTGCCTGATTACTCTGAAATTTAGTATCTAAATTATGACGCAGCACAGAAGATTTAAGCTCTAAACCCCCCTTTTCCATGTTGTGAAACAGCTACAAAACAGTAACAGTGCTGTTCCAAATTATTTAGCACCCTATTGCCTTCTGTGTCTGTTGCATGTTTGCAACAAAGTAAGACCCACAGTGTCTGCAGTAACCATTGGGGAGTATATTTTTCACAGCACAATTGAGAAGAATGATATGGTTGGTTTTGAAAAAGTACTCCAAATAGCTTTTCTAAGCAGCATGGTCTAGAAAACGAAGCTTACTGTTAGCTATGCAAAAAAAGACTCTGAGGTGGGAAAATTCCAGTTGATGATGTGTTTGTTCTTAGCCTTTACGGAAAATAGCCCGCTAAC